ATGTATAAACGTACCAGCAGGGAGCACCTTCAAAGGGGTCACCTGGCTGGAAGCCCCTACACTACTAAGGTTCAGGTATCTTCAAATGTGGGTGCGGCTTATATAATAGGGCAACCTTCCAGGCGTTCTGACCCCGAAGGAATCCCATTGGTGACGTGCTTCCCCATTATAAGTACGCACCAATGTCTTACGTAATCAGAGCATCAAAGGCGTTCAACCAACGGCATGCAGAATCGATCATGCGCATGTGGCGTGTGTGTGTGTGTAGAGAGAGAGAGAGAAAGGCATAGGGGAAAACAAATCGTGCAGAAACACAGCACTCATGCCCAACACCTAATAAACATTACAAACTGTTTGAGTTATCCACATGACATGCATGGACGCTGTGGGCAAAACAAAAATACAACAAAAACAACCATGCAAACACGCATCTCCGGAAATCTTTCACCATCGCGACGTGCATGGCAACTATCTGACTCTCCGACAGCAAATCTGCTTGCATGGCATACAAAAACTCTGCCCTGAGTTCATGAAAAGTACCAGGCAACAAACAAAAAAACACATACCCCGTGGAAAACTAACATGGACCCTGAAAACCACTGGTTTGCAGAGGAAAACAATCTTTTAAGGTCCCATTCTCAGGGTCCATGTTGGCTTTTGGGAGTGTAAATTTGTATGTTTGAAGTTCAAGGTCGGATTGAACTTCCACTTTTTGCCCACCCACGGGACATTTTTCCGCCTGTCTTAGAGTCACAGTCATTCGCATGTACCAGCGTTTTAAGCTCATTTCAATGGTGTGACCACCTCAAAAAGGATCCAAACACCACCATGGAGAACGAAATGGCCAAAAATACCACGGCCAAGAAAGCTGTATGGTCACAGCCCTCGGACATCTCCATCCATGTCACATCCTTCTTCTTCTTCACCGATGTAACGAGTCCGACTCATAGGGATGGCGATCTAAATCTGGATGTTTTTCCGGGTCAATGGATTCCAGTCCCATGCCCATGCCACTCCATGGGACTGCCAGTCCGCACGGCCGAGAAACGGCCGTGAAACGGTGGGGATCAATGGGGGATCAATGGGGTGGCATATATTCCAGTCCCATGGAGTGTATGCGATGGATTCTTCCAGTCTCATGGATTCTTGCAGAACCAACGTCCCGCGCGGACCGCGCGGACCGGCGGTCACACGGCCAAGAGCACCGCACGTCCGCGGCGGCCAAGGTTGGAGCCACACCCTTACACTCCATGTATTGTATGGAATATATATATATATATATGCCGCATTGACCCAATGTAGGTCAATATGGCAGGAGTGTTTGGGACGACAGGTTCAGTCAAGCGGCCTGCGAGGTTCGCAGCGCTCAGGGTACTCTGGGTCGAAGATCCTGGTGACGAAGCAGACGGGGGTGCGCCCCCGTGGGCCTTTGGGGGGCACTGCACCAGAAATAGTAGTCCCCAGCCTCTCCAAACACCCCAACTGGTCCCTCAAAACCTAGGGATTTGAGACCCCAGACCCCTCCATATGTTCCAGATCAGAAATAGAAGTCCTGCATGCTATTGACCGACACGAGTGGTTGGAAATCGAACAGCAAGCGGTCCGTTGCCGCCTTCGCCTGAACCTGCGAACAATGGACCAATGGAGATCCAGGTCACAAGGGGCGTGGGCGGTAGTCTAAGTTAGATTTTTGATGAATAAAGCACCCCAAACATGGATGCACGAACTTGCGGACGATCAACGACGCGCGCCCACACGTACCCTTGCAAGGTTTCTGGCGGGTGTCGGTGGGACTTTGGGGTGTGACACATGGTGGATGAAAAAGACATGTATTTGTACAGGGAACCAGGCTTCTACGAAAACGGCGCGAAGAACCAAGACGAACAGCAGCCACAAGCTCATCACCACTTCACGGTCACCGAATTGATTGCAGGCACATTCCCAAAAGCAAATGTTCATGGGGGCCAGGATGTGGGATCTGATCCATGTCTTTGTTCCTGAATAAGGACATTCGAATGTGTGAAGGGATTAACGTTTAGACGGGGTGGATTTCCCACTTGGGCCATGCCCGAGGAGGTCCAAGAGTCTGAACTGCGGGCGGTAGGACCTCTGTGTGAAAAGGCGGCTCATGGGGAATGGTCAAGATCCAATTGTGCATTTACTCCATGGTGGCTTGGGGATTGGGTAACACAGGGCGTGACACACCTGCCTCATGGTATGCCGTAAACCCAAGGTTTTTGTAGGCTGGACGTCCCCTGCTTGGAATACGCCGGGACCATTTTAGACTTAGAGAACGTCTGCAGATGTTGAATGTTTGACAATTAAACGGAAAGTGTCGGCAAGGACACGCAGCGATCTCTTCTTAAGTGGTTGCATCCGTACTTTGGGATCATCAAGTGTCAATGCAATCTGTGTATCGCCGTCTGGAATCTTGACTGGCTATCGACATGTGTCTTGAAAAATAGCATCTTTGCGGTGATTCCAAGAACCACCCAAACAAACGGTGCCGGTGCTGGGGTGCCCAAACCCAGCTGGGTTTGGTCAGTCCAAACCGGTTTGGTCCTTGACACTACCCTTGACCGAACTAGTTCGAGGCCTCGCTGCCTGTTTTTCCATCCGCCCCACGAAATTCACGGGCCGGGTGACGGCACGACCGAGACCCGGCAGGAAGGTGTTGTAGCTCAGTATGGAGTATGCTGTAGATCTGTCCAGTCCCTAAGGGTCCAGGACCATCCGATTCGGATGGTGGAGGTGAGTTCGTGCTTCCAGAGAATGGTCGTTGCCGGGGGGTCTGGCAGGACATCCGAGCAACGGATGGTGGACCCGGAGTCTCATGCTCCATCCCATGCTCGTCGAGACTGGAGACTGGACGGATGGGTCCCGCGCAAGTCTGGCCCGTGCCCGTGCCGAACGCTGCGCTTCGGAGCGGAGAAAGGCCGTCCTGCAAAGGCGGTGGTCCCTCTCCGTCAGCATGTTCACCTGCGGCGTGGAGACGTTGGTTCTCTCTTCTGGATTCGGCGAAACACGCGGCGTGGAGAGCTGCTATAGTCACAGCTTCTTTTTTTTTGGGAAAGGATTTTTTTTGGTTGGGGGGTAGAAGTCCAAAGCCCACTGCTACGATGCTCGGAGGCTTTTTAGGCGTTTTTGAGGGGTTTTGTCACTTCTCAGGACACACGTTTGCAAGACTTCCCGGGTAGATCTGGAGAAATACCTGGGAAGGCCAAAAATAGGAAGACGAGGGGGAAACGGCCCCCAAGCATAGACTGCCGCCCAGACCGTAGTCTCTGTCACATTCAGATCATTCAGGTACCATGCACGTGGATCGCGGGATGTTCAGGTGAGAAGCGGGTCATCCAGTTCGGCAAGAGCGGAAGCTCACAGGGTTTTCCGGTGTTTGCTCACCATACCCTAGGGATCCAGTCGTACCTTCTCAGGTACGGTGAGGACGGAGACACCGCTATGTAGGTTTGGAGGGTCCAATCACCTGCTGAGAAGGTACGACTGGATCCCTAGGGCCCTAGGGATGTGTCACCAGACATCTTGAGACCGTCTTGATCTCGTCAATGGCCCCATGGTCCCCCGAGGTCTGCAGAACCTCTCGTCTGCGGCTTGGGGAATCGACAGGGGAGGATTGAGGAGACGAATCTGCAGTTCTACATCCTCGGGATCCACAGATACTTTCAGATGCGATGTGATCGTTACGATGTCACTGGGCGGCTCCGTCAAAAGGGTTTCGAAGGTGGATTCACATGGATCCCCATAGTTCAGGGGGATATAGTTCAGGTGTTGGACTGCGATGGGGCCGGACACACACACTCACACACTCACACATCAGCTTGAGCTCCAGATCCGAGAACCTCCATGGGACTGGAATATGTACCTACCATTCTACCCCTGAAAGTCCAAATTGACTCATTTGACCACCGAACGCGTGGTGGATCATAACTATCAGATAGGGTAAAATTATAGTCATTGCCGAAGCTCTGGGTACATTGACCTTTAAAGCATCTTCAAATCACCCGAACTGATCGGCATCATCTTCCATACATTGGAGTGTCTGCTGTCTGCCCTAGCCCTTCAATAACCACTAAGCAAATGGGAAAGACCTCGTTTTGTAATGTAAAAGCCTTAGTGCCCTTGTTGCTAGCTGGTAGCTTCTAGCTAAGCTACTAAGTAGTACGATGCGGCGATGCGGCGATGCACTTGTGTAGCGTAGCTTGAGTTCTGGGTAGCTCCGGTCTCCAACACCGCTTCGGTCTCCGGTCGCCAGAGGTTCTTCGGTCGAACCCGTCTCCGGTCGCCAGAGGTTCTTCGGTCAACACATTTGGTCTGCTGGAGTAGAGGAAGTAGATGGTATCTTGACGTTCGGTCAAAGGTTAAAAAGTGACCTGTACCAGGACACACCCAAGCAGGGGTGTCTAGACAGATAGCCTCTTCCAGGGGCCAGAACCCATGAAAAATAGAGGTTGTCACATAGGAAAAAAAGGTCTCTGATGGTATGTGGATGTTTGTGGGCCTTTGGTTAGAGATTATCAAGGATATATCTATACGGGGTGTCCAACCACCACCGGGCAAACGCTGCTGGTCCTGGAAAATGAGGGGTCAAGTCGCTTTGCCTGGAAAAAAGGCAGCAAAAGGGCGGCCAAAGGAACCTCTGGAGCCGTTAGGACATGAAGTCAACGGCTCATACCGAACTTTCCATCTGTTTGATTCTTAGTGGATTTGCAGAAGAAAAACTACCAGCACCTTCAAAGAGGTCAGCCCACTACTAAGGGACCTCCAAACAGGACACCCCTTGAAGGTTCAGGTATAAATCTATTGAGGCCTTGTCGTTTTTGGGGCGCCACAGGGCTGGGTGGACAAATCAGCCGTGGCGTCAGCCCTGTCCACAGCCCTGGCCACCCACAGAGATCTTTCTTCTTCTCTCTCTGAGGACGCTTTCAGCTTTCTCAAGCCGAAGATATAAGCACTCGCACTTGTTTTCTTGTTTCGGGGTCCCGTCAGCAGAGCCGATGGATATAGAAGTCGTCCTTCAACTGTTGCTTCACTTTCACCTTGTAGTCCTCACTGAGGAAGCCGCAGCGAGTCCATGCACGAAGGTAGGTTGGCTGGGTGGGTCGGAGGTGGTTCTCAGGTCACAAATCAGTTTTACAGTTTTACACTACAACATACTACAACTAACGATTTGTAGTTGTTTTTGTGTTCTCATGTTTAATGGTCTTTGGAGACTATAGCACAGTTACCCTGAATGTCAAAGTTACCCAGCTAAGAGAAGTCTAGTCAGTAGTGTAACCCTGTCCAGTAGGCATATATGTCAAATGTGCACAAGTATAGTACATATACATGAAATTCCCCCATGTTCTTGACTACCTTAAAAAAGCTGACCCCCTCAGTTGTCCCTCAGAGAAAAGGTTACTGTAACCTTTTTCCACCTACAAGTAGTCTTGTTTATATAGTGGGGAAACCAACCCCCAAAACAGGCGAAAGGTTATCCACTGACTGGGTAGGAAAGGACAAACCGGGTTCCTGCGATGGATCGGTCGGATTTCAGGAGATGTGACCGTTCACCGGCACCTCGTGACCGAAAATCGGATCCCCAGTGAAAGGTCACTTTCAAACAATTGAGGATCTCACCAGATCAACCATTCTGTTCATGGTCTTGGAAGGCTATAGGATGATTCTCTTAGACTCTTAGAGGCCCGAAATCGGGCGCCGCCATCACCAGTGGACCGAGCATGGAACGCAGCCGTTTTGCTGCAAAACCCAAACCCTCCATGCTTCCGAAAGATCAGCTTGACTTGGCAAAGGGAGCGAAAGATCAGCGGATGGTGTCCAACATCTGACGGAACAATTCATAGAAGTTTGACAACCCCTGACACTCCAACCCTTACCCCGGCCTGGTAGTGGTGGATTATGACTTCCATGTAGGAGCCCAGTTCATGGGTCAAGTTCCGGAAGGTCTGGGGAAAACCGGGACGTTGCCACGCCGTGAACAACCGTGATGCCTTTGGAGGTGGTCCGCCTCACGGTCGGACATGAAGGCTTCAGATGGTTCTTTTTCCATTTGTGTGTGGTGCATGGGACAAAACCCCTTAAAGCAAACACCGATGTACAGGCACCAATGCACTAGCCATGCACTAGCCATCCTCAACGGCCTCAAGTAGACAGGCTTGCGGCTTGGTCTGTGCTGTTTCTCTTCTTGCTGTTCTTTTCCCGCCAAGGCTCATGTTGTGAGGTCAGGGCTTGATGGAACATCTCGACCCAGGGTCCAAAGCCATCTTGCACGTACAGCAGCCCACCGCAGGCTAAGTGGGACAACATGTTCCTGAGGGGCCGCCCAAGAGGAAAGGGATACGGAGCCTCTCACACTCCCCAACAATCGAACAAACACAAACAAAACAAGAATTCCGAATGTCTGAGTACCCTTCTTTGTCTCACTCTGTGCAACTGAAAATCCACTGATACACTGATACATCTATAATCTGTACAGCCTCCTCCTCAGTGGTTTTTCCTGAGATCAGTGCCTGGTGAACCAAAATTGGCTGGGAGACGCAGTCAATATCCAGGCAGGACACCAATCTTTCACAGGAACCCGAAGGTAGGGACCGCTATCACTACTTGGGTTTGCTTAAGGAAGCAAACAAAATCACCAAACAAATGACCTAAGCAAATCAGGTTTGGATCTTGAATTTTGCGGACATGTCAGGTGAGGTCGACCACGGTCTGAAAACAAAGAAAGTCATCTTGAAGCCCAAACACTTCATGCACAATCATGCACATATGTCCAACATTTGGTGGGTTTTTGGTGAATGTCGGCCATATTTGCGCCACCATGGAGCGTCCTGGGATGCGGTGCGCGCTCCGTACACATGCCCCAGACTCACGATGACCCGTCGGCCCGAAGTCCCGAAGTCCAAGCTTCTGCAGGAACATGCCATGAGCCTCGACATCCTTGTTGTGATGCAATCCTCGAGCTTCATGGAGGCTAGGGGTGTCCAGCTACTCCACTCACTGGATGGGACTAAACACCACCCCGTCTTCTATACTAGACCTTGGGTCTATCCTATTACCTGTAAGGGACAAAACTAGTGATTTGCTTGTTTACTCACTGTTACAGGTCAGAACGGACAAACCCAAACTATAGACCCAATCGTAACATCTTAAAAATCATTTCCATCGATGGGTTCTAAGGGCCACAGGCAGGCCACCACATCGCCCAGTGAGGATCCGTGTGTGCGGCTCGTTGACCCCGACAGGACTCCGTGGGACGGCCACCTCAGGTGAATGTGGTGATAGACCATCCCGCAAACGTACCCCTGTCCCGACGACGGACACCATCAGACACCGGGTTCCCCAAACACTCCATGGGACTGGCATATTGACCTACATTGGGGTGGTTGAAAAGGGGTCAATGTAGGCATATATTCCATATATGGAGTCTGTATGGGATAGATACCCTCGAACGGGACCCCAGTCGAGATGCATGGCACGATCTTTGAGCAAGGATGCAAACATAGTCTGTAAATAATAGAATCGGATTTACCATCGAAAAATGTGAAATCCAATCTGACACATCTCAAGCTAAACCCTACCACCCTAGCCCGAAAAAAGAAAGAAACGACGACCTTCCGATCATCACAGCCCCCAGAAGGTACTTCTCAAGCCACTAATTAGATGGCCGTTCAACCGAAGGAAACCGCCTACCTGAAAGGAAGGGCCACGTCCATCATCGTCCTGCCACACCGAAACGCCCCAACACGCCAGCGAGTTGGACCCCTGCGATCGGGACCCGTGCGGTCCGGAGCCAAGGCACCTTCCACCTGAAAGATGAGATCGAACTTGCAGCTGGCACAGATGGGCATCTGCTTGAGCCAATTCTGCTGGAAGGACAAGGCACCGCGCTCCGCACAGATCCGCAACATCGAACAGTCGTAGGCTCCAAAGGCCAAGTAAACATCCAGCTTCGAAAGCAGTCTTTGCCGTCGCAGGGTGCCTTCCTGATCCGCGCGGCGGAGCAGTCTTTGGTCAAGCCGGAATACAGGCATGCAGGCATGAGGGAGGAGAGTAGTGAAGAAAAAGGATGGCTGATGGCTTGGAAACGAGGAGAACTCTCAACGCTCACACATATATATACATATTACTTGGATTTGATTAAGGTACCGGGAAAAACTATCCCAACAGGGATTTACCCATAGGGAAAAGAACATCACCTTGTGTAATATGAGCTGCTGCGGTCAATTTTTCCTATGTTGAGAGCATTCACCAAGAAGAAACAGAAAAACCGTGGGATCATAGTTCGATCACTAAATCTGTTCAATCGCATTTATGCAATCATATGGTTGTCAGAAAGGATCTTCTATAGTTCAGGAAACAACTCTCAATAAACCTGTGACTTGGATGCAAGCTCTTCAGTTCTCTGCGCACCCGATTCTTGCCAAAAACACAATGGGCCAAGTTTTCTGAAGAGCTGTCCTTCCCGAGTTCTACAACAAAAACCAAAGGAAGTTGGATGTGTCATATCCATATCTGATGATCAGTATATGATTGTAAGGACCCCACTTCAAAGGTATCTCCTTTTGGTTCCATGTAGTAAGGCGTTAATGTCAGTGGTATCAATGCTTGATTGAAGCCACTTTATGTATATATATAATATAATAATAGTTTAAAGTCAAAGGAACTTGCGGACATCGTTTATCACCCAAACACTCCATGGGACTGCCATAGGACTGCCGCCCCATTGACCCCCCAAACTCACCACCCCTGGCCGTTTCTCGGCCGTCCTATGGCAGTCCCAGATCCGAACATCACATGCGCCGTGAAGCTCTAAGCTCTGATATATCTAAGCTCTAAGCTCTAGTCCCTGCAACCCTTGAAACCCAATGCTTGCTCGTCTTCCTTTAACAAAACAAATTCCTCTCCTCACCTGTGAAGTTCCCACGTTCTTGTTCCTTCCAAGATTCCAAGGTACAGGAACCAGCTCCAGCGTCCAAGAGGCGTTTCACCTTTCCTTCAGTGATCAGCTGGCTGAACCTCCACCTGAGCGCAGCTGAAAGGCAGCTGTTTGCCACGGCCAGCGCCTGAATCCCATAGATCGGAGCGAGATGTCGCTCTGGGGCAGACCCAAAAGGGAAGAAAGTATATAATCCCTAGGGATCCGTTTTCGTACCTTCTCAGGTTTGGTGAGCAAGGAGACACCGTTGTGATCCGTTATGTAGGTTTGTGTCGGTGATGTATAGGTTTGGAGACACAACGCATGGGATTGGAATATATGCCGCCCCATTGACCCCGGCTCAACCACCCCTGGCCTGATCGGCAGGCCTATGACAGTCCCATGGAGTGTCTGGGAACGTTTTTTTGTTTGGTCGGATATGTTATTTTCTTCCCTGCAGCAACCAGCTTTGAAGGTCTTAATCCGACCAAAACACAACGGAAAAGGAGTGATGTCACAGGGTGTCTAGGCCTCATGCTCATAGTGTCATAGTGTTGATGGAAGAATACTGTCACGACCAAGTTCATCACATAAAAGCCTGTTGGTGCGGATGTGTCACGTTTCTTCCTTCCAACAGTTCATTCTTCATTCCAATGTCATGGCGTCCGATGCAACTTGCATCCCTTCAGATGTGCCGGCACCGGCGGCGTTCAACCACTGGTTCAGATGTGCTGCCGGCGTTTGGTACCAAAAAACACTGGGCTCCGGGTCCGAACTGAACGCAGAATGGGCTCGGGCTCGGCCGGCACCGGAGGATCGATCGCACGCACGCATGCTCCCAGCGGCTCACGCTTGTTGGGCTCGGAGGACACGTAGTTGTCATTGTACCATGCCCTCGGATCGAGGATCACGGCCGGAGGGCGCGTTGGGGTGTTTGTGGAAAACGGTAGGAAGACCAGCTCCGACTGGCTTTCCCCGGTGAAGGGTTCAGGCATCTTTCAATGACCAAGCTGTGCGAATTCTTGTGGATCTTTGAAGGTCCAGCCATTAATAGCCATGGCCTCCAACCTAATAGCGATGGCCTCCAACCTACATGAATAAATTGATTGATACATTGTTTGATTTCTCTGATTGCAGATTCTCTGAGTTTTAGAGTCATGGGATTTCGAGGCTGACTTCCATGCCTTTTCCCCGGCCTCCCGAACCCGAACCCAGTCCAAGCTCGGGGCAGTCAACACAGGTTGAGCTGGTTTGACCTGATGTTCAAAAAAAAGAAATAACCATGCTTTGCACAGCAGATTGTTCAAATCGATCATCGAACAGGCTCCTCGCCCGGGAATGCCCGGGATGGTCGATCCCGGGTCGTTGCATGTCCCTCATCCAAGGTGCCTATCGCTTGTGGAGACCTTCTTCACCCAGTTCTTCACCTATGGAGTCGACCAGGGCACTTGCTTTTTCAGGATACCCAAACACCCAGGAGCCCCTGTTTGGGGCTTCTATGGATAGCCCCTTATATCGAGGTGATTCGGGGTTGTCCATTGACCACCCCGAGCTGGTGGGTCTCCACATCCGAAGTGAGGTGATATCGAGTGGGTCAAGGTGCCTTCGATCCATCTCCATCCCCTGAGTCTGGCACTTCTTGGAAACAATCCAGCTGTTCAGCTCTCCCATCTGTTGACCAACCCTAGGGATCCACATACCTTCTCAGAAGATACTTGGGCCCTCCAAGCCTATATAAATAGTCTCCAATCACCTTCTGAGAAGGTAGTTGGATCCCTGGAGCAATGGGGCCTCTTCAAAACGGTGACCGGTGAGGCCCCCACACGGTGTAAGACTCATTTCCAGTGGATGGCCTATGATGGCGTCCCATCTCGGAGAATCATGTCCTCTATACCAACAGCTGGTGAGTTCACCCACTGAACCATGGATCATCTCTAATAGTTGTAGATTCAAATACAGTAGATGCACCTCCCACCGGGCCCGGAAGCGCGCACCCGAAGCGACGGCGCACCCGCCACACGTCTGGAAGCGGGAGCCCGATCCCGCCACAACACATCCGATGGATCGGCGGCCAAAGAGATTGAAACTCGACAGTTTGAACAGATATATTCCTTGGGTCTATCCGATCTATCCAGGGTCCAGTGGATGGGGCCAGGTTGCAGGCCTTGTAAATAGTGATTTGCCTGTTTACGGACTGTTACAGGTAATAGGACAGACCCAAACCATGAATACAATGCAGAATTTAGCTTGATTGATCAATCCCCCCTGTTTGGATAGTAAAAGCTCTTTGTAGTTACGAGTAACATGAATCAAGAGTTGAATTGTGTCGAATTTGATCAAATCCAATTATGAGAGAGAGAGAGAGAGCGAGCAAAAACGACCAGGTCATGCTCCATGACTCATCGTCTCTTCGTCTAAGAATGACTCTCACTCACCAAGCGATCCAAATGGACCTCGACATGTCCTGGTCGCCTTTTCCATGGAAATTCAGCCGCTACAGGAACCTGACAAAGTCATCCCTTGCCATTATTTCAATGCCAAATCACCATGGCAACACTGTTTCCAAGAAGTCATCCCCCGGGAGCTAATCCCAATGGAACGCTGATAACCCAAACAAGATGTCTCACCAACCCAAAACAGACCCATTTGGAGTGCCAAACACCCTTGGAACTCGGTGTTTCCCATGTGAATCTCCCGGATGATCTGGACGTCCAATCGATCGACTTCGTCTCCCTTTCGTGGGTCGACCTCCTCTCGGGAGTCCAGCACATTAGGACGATGCCAATGTCTCAAACGTTGAAGCTCCCAGCTCTCCTGAGACGTCTCCGGAGTGTGGATTCCCCATGGAGTGGACAAAGCACCACCCGATTCCTGGCTCACCATTGGTTTAATGATTTATATATATCTTTCTTTACCAAAGACACAGATTTACTATAAGGATTTCAACATATTTCAACAGATCCAGGTAAACCATTTTTTTAACATCTCTTAATGGTCTATTTGAAGGCTATAACGCGGCGAACGGGCCCAAGGCGCCAGCACCTTGTTTCGGGGGTCGATGTGTTTCGCTCTCTGGGTTTCGCGAGTGCTGGAGATGTCTAGACATTGGGGGGGTCAACCCGAACTGGCTGGTGCTGGAGGCTCCGTCACGAGCTCTCAGTTCCGTGATGCCATGGAGGCTCGTGCCGTGTGGAATCGTTCTCTCGAGTCTTCTCGAGTCACACCCGGTATGTGAGACCCACGACACCGGGCGAACCGCGACATGCATGGACCAGACTGGAAGACGACTTTCCGAATACCAACCCAGTGGTTTGTCAGGTTCCATATTGATCTTCCAGGGCGTCTGGAATATGACGCCTCACACCATCCCAATGCAAATCTATATAGTGTCTGGGTAGGTCCCTTCTGCAAATGAACCTGGATCTTGAAAACCACTGGGTTGTAGAGAAAAACAAGATGGAGCCCACCAACCCGAATGCAAACACGATCGAAAAGCTACATATGTCCAAATGACACTCTTGTAGGACACTCTTGTGGGACACTCTTGTGGGACACTCTTGTGGGACACTCCTGTGGGACACTCTATTCGGAAACTCTTGTGGGACACACTTGTGGGACACTCTTGTGGGACACTCCTGTGGGACACTCTTGTGGGACACTCTTGTGAGACACTCTTAAGGGACACTGTTGCGGGACACTCTTGTGGGACACTCTTGTGGGACACTCTTGCGAGACACTCTTGCGGGACACTGTTGCGCGACACTCTTGTGGGACACTCCTGTGGGACACTCTTGTAGGACACTCTTGCGGGACACTCTTGTGGGACACTCTTGTGAGACACTCTTAAGGGACACTCTTGTAGGAGACTCTTGTGGGACACTCTTGTGGGACACTCTTGTGGGACACTCTTGTGGGACACTCTTGTAGGACACTCTTGTGGGACACTCTTGTGGGGCACTCTTGTGGGACACTCTTGTAGGAAGCTCTTGTGGGACACTCTTGTAGGACACTCTTGTGGGACACTGTTGCGGGGCACTCTTGTGGGACACTCTTAAGGGACACTCTTGTGAGACACTCTTGCGGGACACTGTTGCGGGACACTCTTGTGGGACACTCCTGTGGGACACTCATTTGGGCCACTCTTGTGGGACACTCTTGTGGGACACTCTTGCAGGACACTCTTGTGGGACACTCTTGTGGGACACTCTTGTGGGACACTCTTGTGGGACACTCTTGTAGGACACTCTTGTGGGACACTCTTGTAGGGCACTCTTGTGGGACACTCTTGTGGGACACTCTTATAGGACACTCTTGTGGGACACTCTTAACTCTTGTGAGACACTCTTGTGGGGCACGGTTGCGGGACACTCTTGTGGGACACTCTTGTGAGACACTCTTACGGGACACTCTTGTAGGTGGGACACTCTTGTAGGACACTCTTGTGGGACACTCGTACGGGACACTCTTGCTGCACATTCTTGTAGGACACTCTTGTGGGTCACTCTTACGGGACACTCTTGTCCACACTTGTGGGACACTCTTGTGGGACACTCATACGGGACACTCTTGTGGGACACTCTTGTGGGACATGCGGGACACTCTTGTGGGACACTCTTGTGGGGCACTCATACGGGACACTCTTGTGGGACACTCTTGTGGGACACTCTTGTAGGAGACTCTTGTAGGAAACTCTTGTGGGATACTCTTGTAGGACACTCTTGTGGGACACTCTTGTAGGACACTCTTGTGGGACACTCCTGTAGGGCACACTCTTCGTACGAGACTTCCTCCAAAAGTCACGCTGCGAGGCTGCAAGACGAGCTTTTCGTACGAGACTTCCTCCAAAAGTCACGCGTCAAGTCTCAAAAACGAGCGTTTCGTACGAGACTTCCTCCAAAAGTCACACGTCAAGTCTCCAAAACGAGCGTTTCGTACGAGACTTCCTCCAAAAGTCACATGTCAAGTCCCCAAAACCCTCAAAAACTCACATGTCAAAGTCTGCAAAACGAACATTTCGCACGAGACTTCCTCCAAAAGTCCAGCGGAAACACCCATCGGAGCATACACATCACGCAGCCCTGCCAAGCAGTTTCGCGATTCCAGCCCCTCCAAACGACACCCGCTCACACGCCAATCCCAATGGGACAGCGACATTCACCTCTACCACAACTCACAACCTCCCGATTCCCTGCGCCTGCCACGAATCTTTCCGCGTCCGTCCACACGTCTAACGCGCACAAAGTACTGCGCCTGCCACGAAATGGCACCTCCGTCACACCTCGCAACCTCACGATTCCCTGCGCCTGCCACGAGAATCGCACTTCCACACCTCAAAAGCCGCACAAAGTACTGCGCCTGCCACGAAAAGTGACAATATCGTCTCATGTGAGCTTCAACAAAATTTGCACCACACCACACGTTTGGAATGATTTCGACCCGTTCTGAGCACACTCCCATCCACCAAAACCGGCATTTCAGCTGAGACTTGTCACGAAAACAGAGCTTCGATGCCACACCCTGAAACGCAAATCCCAATGGCACAGCCACATCCAACACCCCAAAAACACGACTCTCCAAACGCTAATCCCAATGGAACTGCGCAGCAATCTGCAGATCTCACAAAACGCTGCGCCTGTGCAGCGAAACGCATTTGGTTTCTTGCGCAGCATGTCATTTTCATGCAAATCACAATGGAATAGCGGCGCAAACTGACACGTGACACATCCATGAAAAGTCAATGGCAGCGCCTTAGCGCTCTACTGCGGACGGTTGCGGACGGTTGCGAACGGTTGCGAATGGTTGCGGACGGTTGCGAACATAGAAGCAACGGGTCGCGAACAAGGCTCCACCCCCAGACCCCCAAGAGTTAAACGAGAACCCTTCGCTACGCATTCGGGAAAACTATCTGCAGGGGAGTATTTTCTTGAGCGTAAGATCCCCTTCATCAAACAATCGTCCCTGTTGACGGAGCGCAATCCTGCAGCGCCTTTGTTGAGGATGATCTCTTAGTGTCACGTGTGGATGAGTTATGTGTCAAAGCACTACAGCATGCAGCGATCATCGAAAAGGCTTCCTTGAACGTTGGAGTAGTTTGCTGATATCACTGATATCGATGTCCATCAATCATCTCAAGGCCACCCTAATCATTCACTCTTGATTTCACCTTCTGGAGCTCAACCTATTTACATCATATATAGGGCAATCCCGGTCATAATTCTCAGTCAGGTCACATGGATGGCTTTCACCAACTTCAATCCCTGCAAAATTGGGTTGGCAACACTGATGCAACCCCGATGTTGTAAATCTGATGGCATGTGCCCTGGAGTTCCTATAATATAATGTACAGTGGGTCGATCGGATATCCACTCCACGTATGTAGTTTCTTGCAGCACCACGTATTTTGGATGGTCGACTGAAGTGCCCATAGGTGGCGTCGGAGGTATACCTGGACCCTCCAAAGTACAACAGAGAATGGGACATGTGACATGACCCTGAAAGAACCAGGTACTTAGTACCCATTTTCTATACTTTGAGACTCCAGGTACTTCCACTTCGCCTTCCAGTGAAAAGCACCAACCCGCCAACCCGTCTGTCGTCTCTCGACCGCCAGAGGGCGCCCAACTCGGCTCCGAGAGTCGGAACTGGCTTCGAACTTGCCTCGGACCTCGGGGTCGAAGATGGACCTGGAGGACCCCTAGCGCACCGCACGCGCAGGGGGACGCTCCGCGACGCTACGCTACGCCGTTCCGCCGTTTTCGGCGTGCCTAATAGCGCGGCAAGGACGGAGGACGGGGAAGCAACAGGCTTTTTGTTGGGGGAGGGTGGGGGCGCGCAGGCCAGTTGGAGGTGCCCAAAAGCTGTATCTTGACTCGTTTTGAAGTGCAGCTTTGAGACTCGTTGCACGTATCTTCCGGAACTGTTGGATCGCCGCGTCGGACCGTTAATGAACAAACAATCGACAGGACTTCCAGGGGAGAGTTCACTCAGTATCCAGGTTTCCAGAAGTATCAATGATATCATCAGATATCATATAAATCCTTCATGTCGGGGTCACCAGGCTGGTTTCGCCCCAGCCCACTACGATCAGGGACCTCCAGACAGGACACCCGAAAGAAGGTTCGGGTACATAAAATGACTATAACTTTTGTGATTTTTTGCGGCCACTGGATTCTTGTCAGTTTCTTCATGAACCCCCAAGAGTTGAAATCTTTGGGGCTTGAGGTGTCCACGGCGTCTGCCCGAATTGAAAGTCCTGGAAAGGTTGGAGAGACGACATGGAGACACAGGTTTAATGTGTTCAGTGACGTTCAAAAAGAGATCTAGTACTGGTACTAGTACTGGTATATTACAATATGTATATATATATTATATGTACACTGTATACTTACGTACTATATCATCTGTGAAGCTGCATGTTCGGGTCTTAAAACACATTGAACATGACTCTTGAGGTCACTTTCCACCAAAAGGCCAGGAGTGTTGCTTTGCGACACAGCCCTCGATGAGCTGATGTCTGTGCACCACGGTGCGCCACGATGATCGTTTCTCTGTCTAGCTTGCTTTTGCTTTAAACATATCCAGAACTTCCAGTGATTCATCTTACCCCACCTGATAGTCATGATCCACCACATGACTATCAGGTGAATCAGGTGTGGTAAAATGAGTCATTTGGACTTTCAGGGATTGGATCATGTTTTTCACATGCTCCAAGTGGAGAGACGGTCTCAATTCGACCATTTAGTGGACCAGGAAGACCACCAAACGTCGGCGGGGGCGGCATAAGTCTGGTGGAAAAAAAAAGAACACAATGGTGGAATGGCTGCAGTGCAATCGAGCCTCAGGAGGGTCTCCCCAGATTCAACACACCTGAATGAACGGATGCTGCTCCGGTGGTCCACGGTTTCCGTTGCCAAAAAGGCTGAGTCACAAGTAGTCCGGCTGCACCCATGCTTGGCAGAGGTTTTGAGGGCTGGGCCTCTGATGCCGCTGCCCCATCATCGGTGTCATGCCACAGTTGGGACATGTCGGCAGGTCTGGCACCAAGCCCAGCTTGCCTTGGTGTGAGCGGAGAGCAAGAAGCCATTCAGAATGACGCGAAGGGTTGGAATGATGGAATCCGATTAATATACCTGGACCCTCCAAAGTACCCTGGAAATAGGACATGACCTGTAAAACCAGGCGCTTGTACCCATTATCTCAGGTACTTTGAGACTCCTGGTAGATGGGTGTAAGATGGGTGGAGGGGCTCCCCAATAATGTAACTGGTTCATAACTGGTCCATGTGGGTTTTGGAGGGTTACGGGCATGACGGGTCGTCTTACGGGTCTTACGAAGATTCCGCCCAGATCTAATTTGGACACAGGGAGCCGACCGTGTGAATTGCGTGTATGATTTGGTTTGAACTTCCCATGTCCGGAGCTTTATGATGCTTTAGGATTCATGTTCATCACATATACGACCTTTGGGGCGACACATTGTGTCCCCAAGGTTGGTTAAGCAGCTGCGCTCTCGTGCTGTAGGGTGGTGAGTCAAAACGTATCAAAACCATTCAAAACCCAAACATCCTGCAACCATCACATACAGTCATTCAAAGTGATACAAGCTGCACGAACCTCGAAGACCAATACCACCCTACAAATGGCACATCCTTGAAGATCCTGCACGCCCTTCCCAACCCAACAACAAGATATCCCAAATTCTTCAAAACAAAATTAATTTATGACATTGGGGTGTTTTTTCCCTGGGGTCTTTCTGGGGCGGCATCATGTCCCCATGTCAGTTCATGGTCTTCATGTCCTAACCTCCAGGGATGAGAAAACCACAAAAAACCATTACTCAACCATCCCACACATGAATACTGGCGTCGAACGAAGGACTGGCGCATTGCTCCAGGCTCCAGCTGCTTCGCCGCACTGAGCTGCTCCAGCGCCAGGTTGGGGAACTCCTCTCCGCCCAACAGGAACAGGACCTCGCTGGTGCGGTCGGCGGTGGAACGGAGGCGGGCGATGCCAGGATTCCCCCGGATGTGATGGATGGAATCCCGAACCATCGCTTGACGGATTGGAAGACTACGAGCTCCAGCATATGTTTAATCGTCTTGGACGGGTGTGAAGTCTTCCCATATATATAAGGAATGTTCAAAAAACTTGGTGTTTTCAAGACTTGTGGTGTTTTGAGCTCGGGTCAGGGTAAATGCTGCGAATTCTTTTCTCAGCAAAGTGAGCGAGGAAGTTGAGGTCGATCCAAGATTCCAAAAATCAGCCGGGCAAAATCAGTTGGAAACAAAACCTAGTGCCTCCGCCTTCTTTAGCGAATACACTGGGGATACTCCAGCCTTGAAATACTTAAAGTAAGGCTGACCTTCATTAACCGTGGCCGGTTTGCGGATGAATTTTTGGACCACCCATCCATTTGCATGCTTTTCCTCCGATTCAAAATTTGTGGACGGGTTTGCTTTCTGTACTGCTTTCTGTACAGCCGGCTTTTTAAAGGTTTTGTTCCCCGATGCCTCCGTTTCAGCATCATCATCATCCACTGGGGAATCTTTCTTCTCGCCCTTCAAAATCAAAGGCGACTGAAAAACTTCCCTCTCATTCTCACTCCGCACCCGTGCTGCTGCCATGATTCCCTCCATCATAGAAGCAGGCCTCTTCATTCGAAGAAGTGGCAGCGTACGTGCCTTCGTTGAACTCTTACGCTTAGGCCCCTGCGCACCGCTTTCCTCCTCATGTGGTGCGTCACTCTTGTCATGCTTATTGTCCGTCTTTTTCTCCTCCGCCACCCTCTTGTTTGCTGCTGCTGGTCGCTTCATCTTGTGCACAATCGTACTACCTTGGGCATGATCCCCAGTCAAAGCTGTAAAATTTCATAATAATACATGACAATCTTTGGTACTGAATACTGAAATCAGAACCAACTCTAGATGCATTCACACCAGACCAGCAACTAGAGCCAATGAGTTCAACATTGCAGAATAGCTACCGTTTTTAGTAAGTTGTTTTTCTGTTTGCTAAGCTTGCTGTCTAGAAGCCCTCATGACCTGCGTGCCCTTCTGACTTTACAGCCTGCTGACGACCTCGCCCACGGCCACGCCCGCGAGCTTGCCCACCACGACCACGCCCGCGATCTTGCCCACGACCCCTTGCGCGACCCCTTCCTTCTGGCAGAGCTTCTGGAGATGGAGACTGCTCAAGACCGCTCGGGTTGCCAGGTGAAGCGGCCGCTGTGCCTTGAGGTGAAGTAGCCGTAGCCAATGTTGTCTTCGGACTCACTCCTGTGGCAGGTTGCATCTGAGAACTTCGCAAAATATGACCTTGGATGTCAAAGACACCTGAAGCCATGAATGACATTGCAACAAATTGCCGGGCTAAATAACCTCGAACCGATCAGCTTTGGGCAAGCTCAAAATTTGCAATTGACATCCCTTTGCAACTTCTAAATTGAGATGACACATACATTGCTACTATCAAATTGAGATGTTCTAAATACTAACAAAACCTTCATCTAGTTCCGCATCTGGCACCAGCAATAAATTGACATGTTTCTTTCGAGCTGGTGTCTTCCATGTGCCATGCCTCACTCACAGCTTCACCCCTCTAAATGCAAACAGATTGCTGCACACTGGTTCCTTTTCAAATCCCATATGCAGAATTCCTGCTGCCATCTACAGCAAAGGATGAATTGCCGTTTTAATCTTGACCAAAACGAGCTCGGCTTGTCCGAGCAAATTGTGCACATATGGCAGGCCTGTATTGCACTCAGCTTTGAGATGGTTCATCTCATCTTGAGCTTTACTCAACATGAGGCGAAAATGTTCTGGATCTGCTACGATGACGCTCTGTAGATGTGCCCATGTTTCTGGGGGACCCACAATGTCATGTGCATCGGCAATCCACGTCGACAACTGGGAGATGCGGTCATCGCCATCCATGGCAGCCTTGAAGGTCATGTTGCTGAGGACTGTCAACAAAAGGATCATCTCCATGATGACAGCCATGTCATTCTGGTCCTGAGCAATCACCGGCAAGCTCCGAAAGCGCATCAAAAACTCTCGGACGCATTCATGGCCAAAGGAGGACTTCTCGTACATCCCTGACATGCCATGCAGGAAATGCAAGCCCTGCCACATCACCAGCACATCCGTGTACATCAAAGGCATTGGTCGCAACAATTGGATGGGCGACAAGCTACACCCCGTTCTACCTGAGCCACGTTGCTAGAATGATGATGGAACATCTATCTCTAAGTTGCTTCACAGCCAGATGCTTCACACTATGATGATGATGGAGCTTGACAGCCACTCTGCCCGCCGACTAAAATCTGTTGGAAAGCTGCTGCTATGGCGCGGCAAGAATGCTGCATTGTTTCCACTGCTTCACTAGCCGGCAAATCAAAATAGCACAGTCCGTTCTATGTTGTTGCTAGCCTTGCTTCTCACACCCCGCGAAGTTTCTCAAAAGATTCCAATCTACAAAGTTCAATGTGAATATCATAACATGTCATAACGAATCCAAATGGAAACTCAATGAACAATAAGGTTGATAATTTGATAATAACAATTAATTGAAATTGACATCTCTTTGGAGAAGAGCTTGCAACGAACAGGCGGATATGCTCCACGGCCCGTGTGCTGGCACTCCGTTCCAGCGGGTCAGCCAAAACACCAGTTGTTCAAAATAAAAGCAGAATCAACAAAGCAATTAATCAAGAAAACATCCGCAGGGTAAACAGGTCTCGGGGGGTTGGTTTCACACAGTGTTGATTAGATCCACCCAAAACTGAAGAGGTCAAACCCTAAACCAACTAGTTGATTTTCATAGGCTTCCCCGCTTTCAACTGCAGCGAACACTTGGTAACTATATGGGGTTTTTGCAGCTTCAGCGTGGCCCCAATTCGCTCAAACCGAAATCGGAAGACTGGAATCAACTGCTGGAACTCGCTAGCCTTCCCAATGACTTTACAGAAAAAGTTCTTGCCACTCAGCTTGTCAGGGGTCACGCACTTGAAGCGCATATGGTTTTTGTAGGAGACTTCGAATCCGTCCATGCCGCTCTCAAGGTTGGCATCATCCTTCCTCTTGACGTTCAGGTAGGAGATCTTGTGGTCGGTGATGTTCTTCTCATTTTCACACATCAGCAAGAGTTTGAATAGGGAAATCACCGAGGTTCCAGAGCCATCCTGCTTCCATGAAGTTTCGTCCAACTGAATCAATGTCTTGTCACCCTGGGGCAGCTTGAACTCAAGCCCTTCTTCACCTTCAGCAGGCACGTATTGGCCAGTCCCGAAGCCGCCGATCTGGACATGCTTGCCTATCATCTTGTCGGCGGATGACGAATAAAGCCACAAAGATTTGTCTTTCCCAAGGATCAAGTCCACACCGCTGATTTCAGAAGCGACCTTCAATTCCAGGCCTGGTGATTCTTCGAGCTTTGCCAAGGACTCTTTCTCCTCATTCTCTGATGTAGATGGCAGGGGCTCAGGTTGTTCCTGCTCTTCCGAAGCCTCCACGACTTGCCTGGTAGCTGCATCAGCTCCAGCAGATCCTATCAATGCAAGGTGCTTTTCTCGGAGGCTTTGATAATCCTCTGTGATGCTTCCTCCCTGGGTTGTCCAGAAACGGTGTTCGTCCGACTTGATCACCATTTTGCCTCCAACTCGTTCGAGGACCTCGAACTGCAAGGTATCGAGGCTGCTCATGGCGGCTGCACCTCCTGGAACTGATGAGATTTCATCCTGAGTGAGATCTGGTGCATTGAGGTTGATGCGTTGGCCTGCGAACTCCAGCTTCCCTGATAGCCATGAGTCGACCACCTCCCGAGTGAGTCTCGCTGCTCCAAACTGGTCCTTGTTGAGCCACCAAATGCTCTGGTAAAAGAGCTGCTCCGTGTTGAATCCACCCTTGAGCTCCTCATGCAATTCCCGAAGTTGAAAAGCCTCAACATGCAGTGAAACAAATTGGGGGGCCAACACCTCCCGCATACAAAATACAAACAAATGAAATTATTATCACCCAATTGTTGATCACCATGGAGTGCCTTTTACTTAATTTAGGGACCCAGACCTTGAATGTTCCCAACCCTTCTCGCTGCTTGCTTTTGTCCCATTTCCTGCTGTTGTCTTTTGCTGCCGAATTATGATGAGTTGATAAACTCAAACATTAAATGAACCAACTTCTTTAATCGCTGTCAACTGAATTAGCCTGCAATACGCTTCGCTTGTGAAGCATTGGCGGCAACAACATACAAAAAAAAAGGTGGAGGATTTCTAGGTTTTCCATTCTTATATCGCATGCCTTCACCCCCGGCTAAGATGTTGCGGCACTGTACTGGGGCCTTCTCTTTGAAGTAATCAATGAGACAGGCTTCCAATGTTTCTATTTGCGCCAGTGAATGACTGGCATGAATGCAACGCATCTCACGAAAGTTTCCCTCGAAGTAGTATTGGGCTCGAAGTTCCAAAGATTGTGTGATGCCAATCTTGAAGACAGCTAGTTGTTCTCCTCCATATTTGAGACGAACTTGATGGATTTGCTCCTGTGTGTTGGTGTTTTTGGGTGGTGATGGGATGCGATGTGGAAATTGAAAGTTGGTAGCTTTTATTAAACTTACTTGAACTTGATGCTTTGTTTGTTTCCTGGCCTTGCAGTGCAGCAAAATTTTTCCAGCGGTCGTTGATGGTGGTTTCACACGAACTGAAAAGCCCAAAGTGGCTGACAGCGATGTATGCCACTTGGTTGGCAAAGGGGTGTAAGGGTTCTTCTCATCTGGGTAAGTGTCAGCGTCAATCTCCCAGGTAGGTCGGGTGGCTATCTCAATCTTGGGACGTTTTGGCTTGTCATCTCCAGAACTGCCATCATCATCATCATCATGCCATGGCACAATCCCTCCTAACTTTGCACTCCGAAAGAAACTGTCCGCTGGACACAGCATGGGCCAGGGAATGGACTTGGCAGTGATATTCATGCCAGCC